CAAGCTCCCCTGACTTCGATAAACTGGTGGCACTTGCGTCCCAGCAACCAGACAACAAAGCGCCCATGCCAACGAACGCGCAGCTTCAAGCCGAGATCGACCGGCTGAATCAAGAGATGACGCAACGCATACGATTGCCCAACAACCGGCCCAAGTTCACCGGCAAGAGGGGGGGAAGACGTGCGCGAATGACTGATCCAGGTCGCGAGCGCCTGCCGCATTAACGGGATCGCAATCGACGACGCGAGCCTACGAATACCAGATATCGCCGAGTCGGCGATGGAGTAATCGGCTTCGGGGTGGTTCCTGCACTGGGCTTCGACGACGCGAGTGGAAGAGCACATGTGGGGGATTTTCCGTGAGTATGTGCTTTAGCCCTTCGAGGCATCGAACTACCAGTCAGTGCTACGAGATAAGCTCCGGCGTCTGAAGCAGACAGCGGATATCGAGACTTACAGCGGTGAGTACTCAGCCCTCATCTTCCGCGTCGAAGGCATGAGCGTGCTTTACCAAGTCCTGTTCTACGCAAACGGTCTCAAGCCTCGCACGCGAAGCTGCGTGAAAATCGAGAATCCGGTGACACTGAGTAACGTTATGGACTTAGCTGTCAAGTTTGAGGTGACTCACTCTGTGGAGGACGCTAGTGAGCGCAGGGTTCGCCATGAGAAGACGAAGACCTCTAATGTCTGCATCCTTGGAATGCCATTTTTCGAGGACATGCAACCACAGATCGACTGGAGACGTCGGCGAATCGAAGGAACAATAGAGAGAACTTTGCGCTGGGAACGAGCGGGTGAATTCTGTGGGCCAATCGAGGAAGGCGGATCGGTGATTGCCTCCGGGCCTCGGAAATCTGTCGAAGCGAAAGGCCTGACCGCGAAAAGACCCGATTCCTGTCGAGGTGCCGCGCTGGAAACGGCTGTGAAGTCCGCGGTCAACCCCGTTCACGACTTAGAGCAGAGTGAGACCTCACGAGTTGTTTGCAAGCGACTGGAAAACGTGTCAGCTGGCAAGAGTTCAGCAGATGAAGCCGAGAGGAAGTCGTCGAGACGCGACGGTACTGCTGCTGGGAGCGGCGATGCCAGGGGAAGAGAGTCCGTTGTGGAAAAGATGTTCACGATGGAAATTACAGATGAAGCTGGTATACAGACCAAGTTCATCACGAGAAAGAAACTGCGAAAGTTCCTGAGAATCAAGACCAAGTCGATCGATGAACCAGACTTCATGTTGGCTCTGACGAACGAAATGATCAAAAGCGTCGTTCGATCCTTGGAGCGGCGAGACCAACCCGACAATGTCGGAACTGCAAAAGCTCAACGTTATCTGGAGAGAGACTCGCAAAGTTTCCAGGCAAACCCCGCCATTGACTTTCTGATGAAGTACAAGGTCACGGTGTTTCGACCTGAACTCCCTGAAGGTCTTCCGGAGAAGCGTGAAATTGAGCACAAGATCGACGTGAAAGATCCCAACCTTGCCATGTACCGACAACAGTGGCGACAATCATCTGAGCAACAACGTGAGATCGTGCTTCCAGTTATAGACATGGTGAAGAAGAAACTTATCCGACCAAGCATTAGCCCACACGCGGCGCCAACCTTCTGCGCCCGGAAACCAGTTGAGTGGCATATCATTCACTACTATCAATACCTGAGCTCCAATACGATACGGCAGAGTAAACCGATGACAAGGAAAGAAGACATACTGGACGCCATACCAGGAGGGTCCTGGTTTTCAACGATGGACTTGATGTCCGCGTATTATCAAGCTCGTATGCGGGTAGAAGATATCAAGTTCACAGCGTTCCAGGCGCCCAACGGACGCTGGGAGTACCTAGTACTGTCAATGGGAGTCTGCAACGCGCCAGGGACGATGCATCGATTGACGTCGAAACTCTTTCGCGATCTGGAGATCACGAAGTCGTTCGTCGATGACATCTACATCTTCACGAAGACACAGAAGATTGAAGATCACTTGGAGGCTCTCCGCAAACATTGGACTTCTTGCGAGACAACAAGTTATACGTTAAGCTGTCCAAGTGCGTCTTCTGTGCCGACGAGATTCCATGCCTTGGAGATTTTGTTGGGAGGAACGGCGTGCGGATGGATCCCGATAAGGTGCAGACCATCAAGGCCTGGCCAATTCCAAGAACGCAAGAGGAGATTCACAACTTCATCGGCTTAACTGGATACGTCCTACGATTCTGCCCAGACTACGCGAAGCTGACAGCAAGTATGTTTACTATGCTCAAGAAGAAGTCCAAGCGCAATGAGAGGACTCGTTTCGACTAAGAGCAGTCGAAGAACTTCAAGGAGCTGAAGAAATGACTGTGCAATCCACCAGTGTTGCAGTTGCCCAATGCCAATCAGCCTATGCATTTGCGTACGGACGCTAGTAAGTTTGCAGTCGGGGGAGTCCTGCTCCAGGTTGTCGATGGTATTGAGCTACCCATTGCTTCCACCAGTAGGAAGATGAAATGGCAGAAATCAATTACCTGACGCAGCAGCAAAAACTTCTAGCAATTGTTCACGCGTTGGCAGCTTTCCGGATAGACTGCTTGGACAAGCCACCAATCGTGGAGACGGATCCTAAGAGTCTTGATGGTCTCTTTACTCAGAAGATGTCGAATTGCCGTCTAGCGCGCTGGTACGATATTCTCGCGGAGAATCAGCCAACGTTCTCAAACCTTCCAGGTGCGAGGAACGGAATCGCAGACGCGCTTAGCCAAAGACCAGACTTGCAACCGGAGACGAAGTACTTTCATGACTTGAGTGAGACCAGCTTCAATGCTGCGTCCTTCAGTTTAGAAGTCAGCGAGGTGACCACTAACAGCGAGCTGATAACCAAGATCAAAAAGGCGTACAAGAGAGATCGTGAAGCAAAAGCCATTTTCACAGCAATACAGCGGCGTGCAGATAGCCAGCGTCCGAAAGCTAGGCGACAACAGAAGAAACAATATCGCTGCTATTCGGGAGACAACGGTTTGTTGTGGTACCAGACTCCATCCGACGATGGTCCACGTATCGTAGTGCCCAACGATGTGAAGTTGAGGCAGGTGGTCATCAGTGAGTGTCACGATTCCAACTACGGGGGATATCCTGAAGTGGAGCGGACGTACTTGACACTGGCTAGGAGGTGGTACTGGGCCAAAATGTTGAAGTCAATCCAATCGTACATTGCCGATTGTGAGCCCTGTCGACGGAACAAAGCGAGCCACCGGGACTGCTGGAACGATTACGTGCTCCCGACGAGCGGTGGAGATCGATTTCGATGGACTTCATCACCGACTTGCCACGAACAAAGCGCTAAGTAGATTCCATCTGGGTCATCGTCGACCGACTGACAAAGCGATGTCACTTTGTACCGACTACGAAGAAGGTAGATGCCGAAGGCGTTGCCCGCCTCTTCATCGACCATATCTGGAAACTTCATGGAATGCCAACAAGCATCGTGTCCGACAGAGACAGGAAGTTCGCTTCGACGTTCTGGCAACACGTCTTCAAATCATCCGGAACAACGCCCAAGATGACAGTAGCACACCGAGCTCAAGGAGACGGCCAGACGGAGCGGATAAACAAGACACTTGAGGATTATTTGCGGTGCTTCGTGGGAGCCGTTCAAGACGACTGGGATATCCATCTTGCCAATGCTGAGTTCGCAGTGAATTCAACCGTGAACAGTAGATCAAGATGGCGTCTTTCGAAGCTGATCTCGGATACGTCCCACTAAACTCGTTTCAACCTGCGGCAGAGAATCGTGGTAAGGTCTCCACAAGTCGACCTAGTGCTGAGTTAAACGAGCGACAAGAAGCTCTTCTTCGGCGGTGTCTGGAAGCACTAGCGGAAGCGCAAGAACGAATGCGCGATGTGTACGACCGAAACCGGAAAGAGCAAGTCTTCGAAGCTGGAGACCGAGTGTATTTGAGTACGAAACACTTAGATCGGAGACATACAGGGTTACCCAACCCAAGCCAGCTTGGTCCGAAGTGGATAAGTCCCTATACGGTGGTGAAGAGGATCCATTATCACGCATACGAGCTCAACATCCAAACCGGAATCAAACTTCATCCAGTCTTCAACACCGAATCTTTAAAGCCTTACAGGGACGTCACTCGGATGTCGAGGCCCCATGATGTCGTTCTAGCCGATGGCACAGCTGGACAACTAATTCAAAGACTTCTCGGTAAGCGAGCTCAAAGCAGCGAACCCGATTTCTTGTGGGTTGGGTGGGTGAGGAGAAACTCACTTGGGAGCCGGTCGAGGATCTCTCACAGGTCCCGAATCTCATTGCAGACTTCGAAGCATCCAGGAGAAGATAATGACGAAGACGTTGAACGACAAAGGCAGGCGTAAAGGGCCCGAGAGCCTTCATGTATTCCCACATTACATTCCCTACAGCTTCTACTGTTTCTCCTTCTCACGGCGAGCTTTCGTTTGATTTGGCCTGGACTTTCGTTTCTCGCGGCGGCAACGATACTCTGGATTCAGCTTCATCAATCCCATCCATTTGACCTTGTCGAGATACCCCAAGTTGGTCAAAGGTTTCGGGGTCACCGGCAGTTCAACGCCATCCAGTACGGAGACCACAGTGTCTGGACCCTATGCGAGAACAACAACGCAGTGTCCGACGATGCCATCACCAATACTCGTGAGATACACTCCTTCACGCAGTGCTTGGGCAAACGTCTGGAGCCGTTTCACATTCGTGTACGAAGCATCAAGTCGTCCCTGAAAGAGAAGATCGTAATCTAACGGGAAATCGCTGCGCTGAAGGACGCGAAAGACTTCCGTAGCTCCGCACGAGAAACTCCGTCGACAGTGCTTGGGTGATCACGCACGACGTCCACCCATAGATCAGTGGCCGTGGATGCAATACCAGTATCACGAAGGTAATAAAGCGCCGCGCAGAACGCGTTCATGAAGCAGCCACCAGCAGAAGAAGCCTGGTCACGACGAGCAAAATGCTTCTTGTAATAATAGGCGAAGGCACCTGGACACCGATCGTCACGCCATTGAATCACTTGACATGCGCCGAGCGAAGCGCTGGTCGAGTTGCTCTTCCCATACCCAGCTCAGCTGAAGCGGAGTAATCTGCCATTCCACCTGGAAGCAGCGATGCGGAGATTCACCGCGAACGTCGTGCAGCTGCTCAATATTGACTGGCGCCGAGTAATCCCATGGTGCCGCCGGGTCGTAGTGATTGACACGACCATTTGCGGGGTGTTTCGCCGGAGCTGACAGCAAATCATACGGATGCCAGTCACCGGAGTCGTCGCTGCGCTTCAAGCGATTGAGGGTACCAACAGGCACAGTCTCCTCATCGCTGTCATCATCAAACAGGCTAATTATTGAGAGAGTGGAGGATGGTTGACGCGCCGCGTGCGGACCGTCCGAGCCGCCCTGTTCTGCTTCTTCATCGGAGGTGCCGAAGAGCGGACCACAATGCAGCTCCTTCAAGCGGCTAAAATAAACTCGCCAGACACGTCCGACGCCACCGAAACGTCGTCCCAGAGGTGATGATCGCGCGGTGTTCAGCGCAGGCGGCGGAGAAACGGCGGACGGAGCAGAAGCGGGCGAGGCCGCTGAAGACCCAATAGGAGATGGAGGTGACGGCGGCGACGGTAGCTGCGACGACGATGGAGTGACGGTAGCGGAGGTGACGATGGTGGCGACGGTGAAGCGGGCTGCGTTGTAGCCTGATGGCTTGCAGCTGTTTCCAATGACGGCCCGGCCAAAGCGGCGCGTGCCAGCCGTGACTTAGTCGCACGGAGCCCAGCAGTAGACTGGAGCTCCACCAAAAGATCACAAGAGGAAGCAGACGGGCGTGATGAAGCCATCGTGACCGCCTCAGGATGGAACCCACTCAATTCTAGTGAAGCCAGGCCCGTAGGCGAAGATGGCATCGATTCGAGCGAGTCCCTGTTGAATGACGAAGCGAGCCACCACGTTTCCGTCAAAACAAGAATGCTCATTCGCCGTCCGCTGTGTTTTTTCGAGAATGAAGGCTATGAAGAGGCGGCAGCTGCCAGAGGGAGGGTGAGTGTATCCGATTGGGTGATATTATTATCTTATTCCAATGGGCTGTTAGTAGTACTATGGCATGTATAATATTGTAATTAGTAAACAGGCAGATGTAGGACGGCTGTGGAAGCTTCTAGAAACTTCCATCCGTCTGAGCCGCGGAGCGGGCACTTTTCGTTGGCGCGCTCTCCCCCAATCTCCCCTGACTTCGATAAGTACACATGTCTTGGAGACAGTAGCGCAATAACGCTAGACTTGTCTATCATTCGTTTTTGTATTTGTCGGAGCGCACCGATGCTCAACCCACCACTTGTCAAACTCACCCAAGTCTGTCGAAGCACGGACGCTCGACCGGCATTCTTCTTACTCGTTTCTGCCTTGCAGACGTACGTGTACAAACAAGATCTACTGATCTGACCGCGACTTCACACTCGCACTCCACGTAGCAGATTTGGCACTGAGCGCGGTATGTCAGCTCGCAACTAGGTTCCGAGCACGACGCACTTCTGTGCAACTATCGGACCACGTTCGTTTCTCCTATCAGCTTACCGCGATCTCCTCCGCCGCTTGCTCACGGATTCGGAGTGGCTGATTTGCTTTTAATTATCTGGGTACATAAGTGGTTACTGTAACTCCTAAGGATTATTTGCACTCAGTAGGAGCTTGTTTGAGCTGCCAGAAACACCCGCCACCATCTGCCCCCATCATTTACTGCATCGCTACAATTTTGTAATTCTTCTTCAACGTCCCTATTGAAGCCGTCCGTCATCACCGCATAAACTATGAGCACCGGTACAAACATGCGCTCCGCTACATTATTACTAATACGGGTAGCGAGTTAGTCAGGCAGTCCTGCTGCCAACCGCTGTTTTATCTTCAAACACGATTACTGAGCGACGGAATATGAAGAAGTTTACGGTGGGACCAGCTTTACCCGGTGATGAACATGGAAGAGCCAGGATAACGAGAAAGGCGTTATACTATCTATCACTTGTCAATGACTTGATAATCTATTGGCTGCAATAAACCCGAAATTTAACAATGGTGAAATTCCAAATTAGTGTATGGTCCGCGAGGAAGCCGTATCTTAGCGGATCTCCTGCAACTTAATTTAACTTTTAATTGCTTCCAAGATAGCAGCAATATTAGCAGCAATAATATTGACATGAGCAACTGAAATACTGAAGATTACAGTATTATCATGCAGCTTGAATTGGCCACGGAAGGATCGTCAACTAGTAATCACGGCGATGCGCGGATGGTATACCGCGGTTGTCAGCTAAACAGGGGAGCCTTTATAAGAAAAGGATATCGTTTTGTAGATCTTTTGAAGGGCCACAGGAATGTTAAAATTGGCTAGGCTCATGGTGTTACCGAGCAGCGCGAAAAATGACTGATATGACGATCGTCAGTTTTTGTTATCAAAAAGAAATCTCTGCATCATGTCACGATAATAAGATGACAATATTTACAGCATTCGATTTCTTACAATTCGCTCGGCTGATGCACGCATTTTCGACTCAAGGCAAATTTGGCTTAGGAAATATTTCACAATGGAGGAAAATTCAGAGTACTAGGTGTCAGCGCAACGAGTCGTGTGAGCTAGATTGCTTACTCGGAATGCTAGCCACGTGTAAATTATGTCCGTTTGCTTTAGCTTATGCTAATATCATCCGGGTATATATTTTGCTTGCGAACGATATAGAATGACCTAAGGTTTCTTTACCTTCGCTTCTTAATTTGGTACAGGTATTATCAAACTTCGTTGGGGATGCAGTGCCACGACCGATAGTCGTGACAGCTTTAATATATTGACGTATCTGCTGTTGGAGCAAGATTTTGTAACCTCGATTTTCCAACGACACTACTTTGTTAATCTAAATCGGTACCTTTTGCATAGTAGCGATTTGTATTGCTCTATAGTACTTCTTTCCGAAGGGAATAATTAAGAGAATGCAATAGGACAGTGATGGAGTTTTATTTTGTACACAAAAATGATGTAGTACTTCGAAGTATCTATATAAACAGGTTTTTATTGACACTCCAACTTTAGCGTCCAATTCCTTTTTACGATGTGGGTCCCATCTGAATTAAAACATAATAATTTAGTAACTATAATGTTTGAAAATATTAAATTACAGAATGCTTACCGTGGACGCGCCACTGCATGGAGGAACATGGTCTTTGGGAAATGGTTCTTACTCCGCCGGCTTCGCTGGAGTGGGTTTCGTCTTCAGATACTAAGAACGAGCGCTTATTACCATCCTCATACAACCATTCATCATCGACGTGGACTACATCGTACATGAGCTCGAAAACATGAGGCTTGTAGGGTCAATGTACGTAAGGACTTCCTCGATACGACGAAAATTGTTATTGTCCGCTCGGTACGGTTGAATGCTAGTTGAATGCACCTTCTAAACGCCTTCACCTATAAGTGCTTTTACTAAGTACTTGGCGATGCCTACCGCGTGAGCAAGGTGCCGGTATGACTTCCTTTCTTAATAGGAACAGCCCGGATCTCTTCGACGATTTCGTCGCGATTCTTCTTTTTCCGGCCGGAATTCTGCTTAATACAGCTCTCCCACTCTCTTAGATCGTCCATAGTTTCCATCTCACAGAACCGGTGTTATATCCCGCCAATAGAGGAGCGTCTGAATTTCTTGGCAACTCTGACTTGGACTCCTCGTGGCAGCTCGCCGCCCACACTCTGTTCAGCAAATCATCCAGGATTCGGCGGCGTTCATCATCGGTAAGGTTGATGGGCAGTATGGCTTAAGGTAAATCCTGTATGACCAACAACATGACCGAATCGTTGGGCCTTCTCGCGGGGCTCAAAGTCCGCCTTCGGAGCAGCTGCCCCCCAATACATGTCATCGATTACCGTCAACTGATACTTCATCAGCAACGACTGCGGGCCCGATCAAATGCGGACGATCTACGTGAATAGTTCTATCCGAGTCAGCAGTTGGTTGATCTGCTTACCGTGTTAAAATGGCAGCATGTAGTGGGTGGCGGCATGAAAGCCCAACCACGACCACGTAATACAGTGCGTGAAGCTCTGTAATTATCCACTATGTAGTGGCACAGCACGCAGTAAGCTGCACATCAAGTGCTGTGGTCCATGAAATGAGGTCACGCACTTGAAGATTATCTACTACACATGTTTGTTAGCTCGGGCTGGTATACATCGTGGCGGAGAACTACCAGGATGTTTCCTTTGGACGCTGTCACGGGGACGCTAGTGATAGTTAGGTAGAGCGGTTTGTCGGCGTGCATGTCTTTATAGCTCACTTTTGGTTTTACATCAAAGCCGGCAAGCGCAATACAATCGGCAAGAGACTTACGGAAGTGCCAGCTTCCCCTGACTGTGTTCGCATTTTTTCAGGGTGACCTACTACACAGCATCTATAACCGCATGACGGACAGCCTGGTCATCCGGGCGATGGATACTCGTCACAGCTACCAAGTTTATCTATCTCACGACCGTAGTTCCAGTGTACGATGGGGAGCACGCTACCAGTGAAGTTGGTCATTGGCTGTCCACAAATGTTGCTGAAGGCAGGTGGGTTGAGACTGCCCTCACGGTCATCGATTTCGTTAATTAACAGAAATAATTTCGAGCTAGGGATACCGAGGAATGAGGTGTGAAAACAGTCCCCAAGGGATTAAGAAGCACTTGGCTTGACGAGTCCCTCCGTGAGGCTTCCCGCACTGGTGGAGCAGGTCCAGTCCATCAAATCAGTGTATGTCCCACTTTGTCTCTCCAAATATCTAGAGCGTTTCTTTCACTCTCGTAATTTTCTTATGGCCCATCCAACTCCCTGTCGGACCTTCTTCGATTGGTTGCTCCTCGTTTGTAGGCCCACTACACATTACGAATACCACCCCCTTCTCGAAACTAGCAGCCACCCTGCTAGTTCTTCTTCCTCTCGCTTCTCCGCCGTGGCCAGCCCACCGCAGATGTTCCACCGCCTACGCTTTGTGTGCATGCATCGCCTCGAAACGATTGCGACTAGTCTGTCCACGTTCGAAATCTCTCAGCAGTGCTCCACAGTTTCGGTCTGCTTCATCGATCCATGAGGGTTCCGTAAAGCCCGTCCAGTATACCATATATTCACTTAGGGCGCGGCCGTAGCGTGCCCACCGTCCTGTTTGCACATGAGCGATCCGCTCGACTTCGAACTTGCCTTCGCCCAGATCGCGCTCCCAGCTGTCCTCCGGTAGTAGGCTCTCGTCGAAGCCTACGCGGTCGGTCCTATCGTCCGTCGGCGAGGCGGTCGGTTGGACCGGATACGTCTTGCCTAGCTTCAGCTTCGTCACATGTACGATCGGGAATAGTCGATATTCAGTGCCGTCAGTCTTTTTTCTTGCCGCATGCCAATCTATCATTTCTGCCACTCTGAAGGGGCCGTGTCACATGTGCGCTAACTTCATAGCGTAACCTTCTTTAGCACAATCTAGATATAACCACACCTTATCACCGATCTTGATGTCATGGGGGCGCACATTCTCGTCGTGTCGGTCTGCTTTCGCTGTTATTGCTTCGCGCAGAGCTTCGTTGACCTGTTCTCGGGCCGGCTGGTACCGTCGCTGGATGGTATAGCGCGATCGACGCGGCTCCGAGCCCTGGCGTCGTATGCTGCCGAGCGGAAATGCAACTTCCAGGCTGGACCTTGCATCCCATCCATGGATCAGGAAAAACGACGTCGCTTTGCGAAATTCGGTCAAGTGCCGTGCTAATAGCGAATGTCAAATCCTCCGGGTACTCGTCCCATTCCTTCTGTTCCATACCCTCTTCAACGATCTGGGTAGTGTTCGCACCATCCGTTCCGCTGTCCCATTGGCCTGAGGCCGATACGCCATAGTGGCATGGTGCCGTTGCTCTACGATGCGAATGAATGCGCTGCAACAATTAGACGTGACCCCTGGCTCTCGATCGTGCCTAATCACTTCGCTCGCGCCTAAGCGGTGGAAGACACAGTCTTTGTAGTTCTCGGCTATCGTCTGCGCCATTCTCGACGTGCTTGCCTTGGCTACTGCATAACCTGAGAGCAGGTCTACCCAGATAAGCAGCTTGGAAATACCCTTGTGTGACTTCAGCAGAGATGGGATTTGGTCCATCCTGACACACCGGAATGGATACGTAGCTTGTATGTTTTCGGACGATTCTCGTCGAAGTGTCAGATGTCCTTTTCCTGTCTCACATTTCCCACACTGTCCCACGTAGCGCTACACACTCTTGATCAGGCCGCGCCAATCGAAGCACGATCTCACTCGCTGGTACGTTCTTCCTATTCCTTGGTGGTCGCCTTCCAGGTTTGTGTGGTAATGATTAAGCACGTCTTGTTGTAGATT